AAGACTATTGTACTGCAACAAGGATTGAATTGACATATTGTGTTCCATATGAACATGCTCAAAATAGACTTGCAGAGTCATTTATAAAGCATATACAATTCATTACCCGGCCACTCTTCCTTCATGCAAATTCACTTGCATCTATGTGGAGTCATGCAATTTTACATGTTGCAGCATTAATATGCCTCCATCCTCCTTCTCTTGAAATTGTTTCACCACATGAGCTCATTTTGGATCGTATTTCAAATGTATCTCACTTATGAGTATTTGGTTGGCGTACTTGGATTCCAGTACCAAAACCTCAATGGCATACCATTGGAGTTCATGAACAAGAAGGCATATATGTTGGTTTTGATTCACCAAGCATTATTCATATTATTGATCCATTAATTGGCACATTATTACATGTATGTTTGAAAAATTTTCATTTTGAAGAAAATATATTTCCATCTCTTCAAGGAAGAGTATCCAATCAATAAAGAAATAAAATACTTGTATTTAAAGAACCAGAAACGTTTACAATGAATCTCGATCCTAGGACATCTTAGGCACAAATTGAAGTTGCTAAGATGTTGCATCTAAAACGGATCGCAGATAAAACACCTGATGACTTCAATGATGCACCTAGAATTACAAGACTTCTTATTAATGAGGCTAAGAATGCACCTGCTCAGATTGCAGTGCCATTAACTACAATACCTCAAGTTATAACAACAACAACTAAAAGAACTCATGGACCAGATAAACAACCACGTAAGAAAAAAGCTATAATATTGACTAATCTTGGTATTATTTCATAAGAAATTGCCACTCCTCCTACAGGACTATCAATTCATGATGATATATCTATGCATAATGTACCTTCAATTCCTGTGAAAAACAATCTTGGAATTGAAAGGAATAAGAACAACTTGAGTAAAGAATTATCTATTATGTATTCTCCTACAATTGATATTTGGGATAGACCATCTATTATGGTAGATGAATCATTTGCATGTATGATTATAGAAGCCCTTTCTTGCAAAGAAGATGATCGTGAACCTCAAACCATTGAGGAGGCAATATGTCGCTTTGATTGGTCAAAATAAAAAACTGCTATTGATGAGGAGTATGACTCTTTGCGTAAGAGGAAAGTCTTTGGTCTAATTGTAGACACTCTTATATCTCACCCTGTGGAATATAAGATGGTATTAATATGCAAGCGAGATATTCAAGGTCAAATAACCTGCTATAAAGCTTATCTTGTTGCTCAAGGATTTACTCAATGATTTGGCATTGATTATGAATCAACATATTTTCCAATCATGGATTCAATTATATTTTAATATATTATTGGAATGACAGTTTATGCCATCGTTGAGATGCATCTGATAGATGTAGTAATTGCATATCTATATGGTTCTCTTGATGCAAATATTTATATGAAAGTTCTACAGGGCTTAGAAATAGGAACTTCAAATGGACCTGCTGCAAGACAATATCGTGGTATTAAATTATGTAAGGCCTTGTATGATTTAAAATAATCTAGATGTATGTCATATCAATGTCTTTGAGATTATTTAATTACAAATAAGTTTGTAAGTGTTCTACTAATCCCTTGTTTATTTATCAAACAAGATAAAACTAGTTTTGTAATCATCACTGTATATGTTGATGATCTTAACCTAGTGGGCACTATATCTGCATGTGTTACAACTACTAAGCTACTTATACATGAATTTGAGATAAAAATGCTAGGAAAAACGACTTTCTACATTGGTCTTCAAATTATGCATCTAACAAATGGTAGCATTTTTTTCTACCAACTAACGTACATTAGACAAATCTTGCAAAGATTTAATATGATTGATGCTTATCCATTGTCCACACCAATGGTTGGATGTGGTAGTGATGGTTATGATCTATACTATCCATGCAAGGAGGAGGAGGAAATATTCAGAGATCAATATCCATACCTTGTAATGGTTGGAGCACTTTTATTTTTGGCTACATCTACAAGATCAGATATTGTATTTGTAGTTAGTGTTCTTGCAAGTCATAGCGCATGTCCAATACTACAACATTGGAATGACATCAAATATTTATTATGTTATTTAAAAGGTATTGAAGACTTGGAATTATACTACATACAATCTGCATATCCAAAATTCGTTGGATATTGTAATGCAGGATATAAATTTGATACTACAACAGCTAAATTTCAAACATGATATGTAATTTTAAGACATGGAGCTGCAATATCATGGAAATTAGTGAAATAAATAATAACTGAAACTTTATCCAATCATGCAAAAATTATTGCGTTACATGAAGCATCTCAAGAATGTATTTGATTGTGATCAATTGATAAATTCATTCAAACAACTTGTGGATTTTCATATGATAATTCTCCAACTATCTTGCATGAAGATAATAGTGCTCGTATTGCATAGGTGCAAGTTGGTTTCATTAAAGGTGATAGGACAAAGCATATTGATCCAAAATATTTTAATTATATCTATGACTTGATTATTGATCAAATACTTATAATTAAGAAAATTGAATCTACAAATAACCTTGCTGATCTCTTCACCAAAGCTCTCCCATTGTGCAACCATCGTCGACTTACTTATGGCATTGGTATGTGGCGACTTGCTTTTCTTAAATAAAAAAATTAATGAGCTCTTTAAATAATTAAAGAAAATGATGTTGTACTCTTTTTCCTTCATCTATAGTTTTATCCTTAAATACAATAAGGTTTTCCTAGATAAGGTTTTAATAAGGCAACAATTGTTGATCTTGTGAGATTACAAAAAAATATAGATTATAATTTTATACAAATTTTATATTATGTAAATATTATGATGAGCGAGGAAGAGTGTTGAGAGTATTAAATGTAGCCGATGCTCTCCATAATATTTACTATAGACTACAATAAATACTATAGCTACAGTATTTGGAATGTAGTGGAGAAGAACTATTTATCCTCTCCCCTTTCTCCTCTTATATACAAGACACAACCATATCAATAGATTTGAAGCTCTCTCTCCTTAGAAACCCTCTGTGTATTACTTACTACTACTCTTGTGTCTTTCTAAACATTCTCAACAAAGATAAAGTCCAAGTTACTTACGAGAAAGGTCTAGATGGTGTATCTTGAGTGTGCACCACTTGGCCAATACCACCACATGTAGGGCAAGTCTTTCTGCTGGTGTCTACTATTGCACCACTTCCAATTCAAGCAGCACATGTCTCCAAATGAGCAACCTTGAACATTTTCTCTGTCCCAAATATGGCATCGCCAAGGCATATCGTACCTGATGATACTGACGGAGTTCCACCATACAGGCATTTTCAAATGTATAATAGATATTTAAGTGAACTCACGAATAGAGATTCTACAGGAATGAGACAGTAATCACCCAGAAGATATGCTGAAATTCCATGTTAAGACAACAAATTCATCATTGGGTTTCTGCTAGACTCGATCTTCCAACTTGTATTTAATTTGAAATTCTTTCAAACCAAATATTTAAATCAAATAGATCAAACATACGAAGAGAGGGTTATCAGGGGGACTCGCCTAACATCGTCCCCTTAAACAACTGTGGGTCTCCTATTCCTACCCATGCCACCCATTTCACCCATACTACCTCCAAAGAATGCCTCGAAGAGCTCATACAGATTTGTCTGCAACATACGAATAAGGGTGTAATAATCTGCATCTTTCTATTTCTTAAAAAAACAGTTGTTTTTAGCAGTCACCCTACCAGTTGAATACGCTAAAGTAAGACAACTAATATTTTTCCGACCAAGTGCGGTTCCAAATTATCTCTCATTTAGAACGGATGCATGTACGGAACCATATGCGCCAGCTCCACTAGCTACCCCGTTCTTGACACCAGCCTCCCCATATTGATCATAAATCGACTTCCTCTGATCATTTGAGAGCACCTGCAAGTTTCGTATACAATCCAGGAATGCTTGGTATGTCCACATTCCATGTAGAACACTCGTGCAGCTTCACTGATTACTTCGAATTTCAAGATAAAGTCATAAATATGCAAGGATTACTCTGTCATGTTTCACAACAAACTTAATACACTGATCATAGGGATTTATATAAACTCGCAACATTGTTTCGAAGTTCAACATCTTTTGTTGTAACAGAGAAACACGAACTAAATCCCCACCTCATAAGCATTACTGATTTCCTTGAACTTTTCCTCTGCTCCTGGCTGCCTGTTGACGTCAGGATGATACTGCACAAATAAACAAGGTAACTTTATCAATGCTCGCAATGCTCACGAGCTAGTGACCAGAAATGATCAGTAAACAGTGCAAAAGTGCACCCAAAGGCGCAGATGCAGCGTACAACGGTTTCTAGGAGCTTTTTTTCAGTAAACTGCAGTCTACGCCTCAAACTACAGTCTCAAACCACGAAGTTAACCATGAAAACATACCCCTCAAGAAATGGCCAAGTGAGTGAAGGCATAAAGTTTCGGATTGCATCTAGCCGTTCGGTGCTGAGTAGATGTTACCAAAGTGTTGCAAATTGTTTTCTTAGTCTAGTGGATGTTATTGTGTCAAGTGAGTCTTGGGGGACTGCAGGAGTGTGCTTGATCTTACAGAATAGATTGAATCGGTTGAGCAGTCTTTCATCGGAGTACAACATGGACAAGGATGTGTGGAGCTCGACATTTGTTTTGCTACACAGGTTAGAGACAATGACTCGGCCAGTAGTTGTCAGTTGCAAACGAGTATCCCTCATTTCAGTGACGATGTTTTTGTAGCCGAACTTCATTTTTCTTGAAGCTCAGCTAGTTTTCATTGTTGTAAGGCACTTGTTGTGTCATGATCGTGTGGTAACTTGACGAGGCTTCTCTCCCTCCGCACTACGAAGCGCTTTTCCACTTTTTTTGCTGTTTCCTCAATTAAAATGACTAGGACTTAGCTCTGGGTACGTTCAAACAACACTTGAGGAACAGGAGAAGGAAACATAAATAAATAGTTGAATAATAAAACAAACAAAAAAAAATCTTGGTCTCAAAAACATCACCGCTTTGGTCATTGAGATCAAATTTTCCATATTAAGGTGGATTTGTTTAATACATTAAATGGATTGAGGAAACTGTTTAATCTTTCAATCAACTGGAATTGGCTTCGATTCCAGGAAAGGCATCAACGCACAAAACCTGACGACAATCTGCCGGCTACCTTGTTTGGTACTTCGAGCCTAAGTTGTCAACACTCAGATGTGAATCGCAAAAGCCCTAATAACCAGTGATGCTCTCCCTCTGAGCACGCTGTACAGCGAACATGAAACAATATTTGAGAACATGCACCACTATGAAGATGGTTAAACTGTCTCTTATCAAGTGAAATAGAAGTCAAGCGAAATAGAAAGTCAAGCATCCCAGATCATGACAATAGCCATGGTTGCAGCTCCCAAGGTAAGGGCAATGAATTTCTTGAAGGGCTGTTCCACAGAAGTTTTGGAAGGCATGTACTCCTTGCCAAGCAGATGGTTGATGGCCACATAGATGAACACTCCCGTGGCTAACCCCATGGCAATCGCATAAATCCAGTCTGCCACAGCGCCTTCTGTAGTGGCATCAATGATGATGCCGATTGCAATACCGATTGGAGTGGAGATGGCGAATGCAAAAGAATAGCAGAAGCACGACAGGAGTGGCCGATTTGGCAGCATGCGCAAGAGTGCGATACCCATGGCAATGGCTGCGAATACTTTGTGAAGAGTAATTGTCCAAAAGGCTTTCCATGCGTCCTGCTTCGTCACTGCACACACGCGACACAGGCTATCTTCAACATCATGCGAGTTCACCACTGTCGATACATCTGATTTCAGTCAAACCAGAAAGAGGATCATCGAAGCTTGCAAAGCGAATGACGCATCAAAATCAGGTTTGGTCCATCATTGGAGGCTGCAGCAATGTGGAGGAATGATATTAAGGGTAAATGAATATGACTGGCGTTTGAACAACGACATCATCGCACGAGTCACGCTACCTTCTTCACGAAGTCTTCGCTTAATCCTGGGAATATTTTTGGTTAAAAACCGCTTTACGTTAGAAAGAAGAGTTGGAAGTAAACCTGAAACGCCGATGGCAATGCCTTCAAAGACAGAGTGGAAACACAGGGCCAGAATGAGCAGCAGAGTATCTCCAAATGAAGCTCGATGTAACAGCGTCGCATTCACTTCTGCCCGACCCTTCTCATCTTCACAAAACAAGTTGCGATTCGCATTAATTCATCTTCACGAGGTTGCAGTGAAAGTCGCTAGCAATAATTGCAATTAGGGAGCATCACTGCATTCTAGTTAATGATTGCATGACTGCGTGCTATCATCAGTACTCAGAGCTTAGAGAGTTTTGGGAGGCCTGCTGATTTAGGGATTTCATAGCTGCCTGCCAAAACCTTCGACCAAAACTGCTGGTCTACAGAGTGAAGAAAGACATGCAACTTTTGTTTTAAACTTGACCCTCAAATTTATTTGTCCCTCTTGTGATTCCGAAATGCTACCTAATTTCGCAGCCCCATCCTTTTCGCCGTCCAAAGAACCTAGCTGCGCAGACGAACGAGCACCGCGGAGGATCAGCCGCTGGATGATGAGGTCGCCAAACAGTGTGATCAAATAGCCTGCAATGGCAAGCATCTCCGCAAACGCATACTGTTTGGTAGTAAGCGCTTGAAAGATGTTGTGCGCGTCGCTCAGGAAATGTAGCAACGCAGTCGTCAGAAATACACCTGCGGCATACTGAGTTCCCAGCACCAAAAACGAAGCGTTCCATGGAACGAAGTAGGGCGAGATTCCACCCAACAGCGTCACAAAAAACACGATTATCAGGCAATACACCTTCACAAGAATCAGGCCCTTCGCCCGCAAGTTCGGCGGAGGTCCGTCTTCCGGTGTTGCTTCATCAGCTGCACCGCCGTGAGCCGCAGCAAGCTCTATCCAAACAGCAAAAATCAATAACAGCGTTACAAACCGAGCAATCTTCCCAATCCTTTCAACGCAGTTTCCTGTGGTCACCCGAGCACGCACGGAACCAGACCTTCTACAAGTGGGAGACATCATTTCATCAGCAACAATGTGGACAACCAGTGCGACATGCAGTGCCCAGAAATGCTCAACGCTGGAGAGAAATAGACTCCTTTTGTATCGCGACTGATGACCTATCACTTTTATCACATTTTAGTGCCACTTATAGTTGCTAAGGTTTGAAATATGCAAAGTGCAGAAGCAGCTCTGAGACAACCTGTAGACGGCGTTCGAGCCAAACTCCCAATCGACCCAGGCGGAAGTGAAAGCCTGCAGCAGTGAACAAGGTGCCTTCTACCGCCTTCACCCACCGTAGTACATATTTGTACTTCGTGTAGTACAAGAGCCCAAACCCGGGTGATAGCCGATACCCACCTCCAGACCGCATGTGCGCGCTTCCACAGCCAGGCATCCCGGAAATGAGGATTATCGAGACCAAAGTCGTCGCGAGTTACACAGTATTCCACAACAACTGGCACGATCGAGTTCAACCTAACGGAATTATCGGAAATTACCTTTACACGAATCTGCAACAGTTGGAATCAGATGCTTTGGAATCAACTAGCGGTCGCACTCATTAAAAATCATTTTATCAGATTGTTCTGTTCTGCAACAACGCATCCATGCCTCGTGATGACGAAGCTCCTTTGTCACTTGCAGAAGGCGATCATCACCATGGCTGATTGATTAATGATTTCACAGTTAATACTGAGATCAGTAACTGAGGCTTGAATGACACCGATAATGATTGATCCAATAGTACGTTGTCACGGGGAGTCATTTTTTAAATTAATTTGTAATTTCATTAACCTAACAGGAAACCACAACCCTAAGCTAGAATCCATCAGATAGTATCGGGGTTTTAAAGATGGGATTCGAACCGCTAACATTTGAAGAATACATCTCTGAGTGAATTGCGACATTATTGTGGTTCAAGGCCATGGCGGACCTCGTGAGGAGTCTTTGAGTACTGCGGTCGTGCCCACCACGACCTGCCGAATTACTGAAGACACCCTTTATCCTATCGAATTATAGGGGACCACTCGAACGTGGAATATATTCCCTATCCGGTCAAGCTTGGAAGAGAGATCGTTCTCAAGACCTGTTCTCATCAGTTTCCTGCGGTTGATGCTACGTCACTGTCAATTCCCACACCTTGGAGGAATTAGCAACACATTGTGCAATATTCTCTTGTCCGTCACACCATTGTGCCTCTGCACTGTACCGTGCACTTCACGTCTGGAACTTGCAAGTGGTAACTAATCTGACGCAGGGAATCGCGTCCAGGACCAGTCTATAGAAAAAATCATGAGAACACACAAGCCAGATTTCAATCATTAAAACATTTCTTCCAACTACGAGCACGCAACACGGTACTCAAATGCCGTAGGAGTGAGTGACAGAGGACATAGCACTTTTAACTAAATGTCACAAAATCATAATTCACATAAACGGTGCAAGATCCAATTTAAGCTTAACCACAAATCTCACGATCACTGCTCCAATGATAATGTGCACAACCACAAGGACGCTATATCTGCCACGACCGCCCGCACAAGAACGAACTACCAGCCACATTGTCGATCCATTGAACTCAATCGAATCGGCGTCTCTTAATGAGGCAACAAAACAGGGCGAGTGAAGAACAAGATAGTTTCTTTTCTCAGATTCCGAGATATTCCAAACGCCGATACGCAGTGGAAAGCTATCCGGCAGAGACAGAGAACTGCAAAATTTTCCGCGACTTCAGCCTCACGAATCGTGCTGCATGTACAGACATCGCACCGAGTTCTCACGAGCCACAGATTCAAATTACAAGTACGCACAATGCACGAGGTGAAGAAGATTGCGATTGAGGTCACGAAGGGAATCCATGCAAACACGGTCACAGCCACAGACACAGGCACCAAGCCTCTCGCAGCACTTCGAGCTATAGTGATGGCGACCCTCCCCCCTGCTTTCGCGAACCCTCCCCTCTCCCCGTCTGCCCGTTACCTTTAAAGTTCGGCATACATTTAAAGTTCGACTTACATTTAAAGCGCGACATAGCTTTAAAGAGGGGATGTGAGAAGAATAATTGCGGATTAAGAGAAGGGATTAGTGGGTAAGCAGGGGTTGGAAGAAGACCAAAATTATTGAAGGGTGATAAGTGGAAAAGGATTATCTAGAAGTTCAATGAAGTTACAATTTGGTTTAGAAAAATGTTGCCTTTAGGGTTATTTAAGTCTTTAATTATTATTATTTTTATGTAGATATTATTACATTATTATATATATATTTTCAATATTTATAATTAATAATTGATACTATTATTATTATTATTATATTTTTTAAATAATTAAATTAAAATTATTAACCATAAATTTAATAAGTAATAATACAAATTATTAATTGTAAAAATTGACATTCAAAATTTTTAATAAATATCTCTAGCAATTTTTTACACAAATTCTCAAAGTTTTATAAAAAAATCTCTTGAAAGTGGGCATAATGTAAATTCTTTTGGACAACACTATCCATGCCTTTTATAGAAAAGTGAAATCCACCTCATCTTTTTCTCTCATGCCCTTTGGTTGATTTTTCAAAGTACCAAGCCAACTAAGAAAGACTTTTTTACTCCTATTTTCCTATTTCAAGATATATATATATATATATATATATATATATATACACACACACACATGTAGTTCTTTATTTGTTAGAAATTTTTATATTATTTACCAAAAAAAAAGTTCTTTATTTGTTGAATTTTTAATTTTTAATTTTTTTTGTATTTTTATGATATTTTTGTTTCTGTAAATGGATATTGTTATTATTATGCTGGCAGTTCTTGATGACTCTTTTGTTCTAAATTTACAATGGAATAAATTAAATTACAAAGAAAATAAAATCACAGACTTTAAATTTTCTTTTCCCAAAACAATTAAATTGAACTCTTGAAAAGAGGTTTCTTTTATATGTTTTTCATGTCAATAGCATTACATTTTTCTAAAAAACCATAATGATATGAAGTTTTGGCCTAAAAAAAAGAGAAAAAAAGAGATGAAGGTCAAGAGAGACAAACAAGGCTTATAGTTTCTGAATTTATGTAAGAAGAGAGAAAACAAAATGCCAACATAAAAACCATATTTAAGGATTAATTTGTATTTATTTATATTTTTGTAAGAATAATTACAAAGGCAATTCTTTACGTGTATTATGATCAAAGTAATCAAAATGCTCTATGCAACTTTAGTCTAATGAGTTTCCTATCAAACTCATCTTATTTCAAATTTTATAACATTTTCTTGTTAAAATTGAAATAATAAATTAATTATTCAATTTTGGAAAAATACCGAATTTTTATGCTTGTGTTTAAGTTTCATTTAAATTTTCAAAAATTGTGCTTTCGTTGCTTTGAATAATTGTAATTTTTTATTTAATTTTCAAATTTTACTTTCTTTGGTTTTTTCTTTGCTTTAAGGTTTTTCTATATTTTAGCTTTTAGAATTTTATTTTTTAGTATATAATGCATCAATCCATTTGTGTTTTTTGTCTGATCAAAACAACAATATTTAAATTTCAAAAAGATTTCATCAAAAGAAATGTGGTTATAGATCACATTCCATGTAATTAAGTTTCAAATCTCATTCTAGAAATAATCAATTTACAAGAAAAATTTCAAAAGTTATCTTTACAAAAACAATACAGAAACAGGACAAAGGACCATTCAAATTATCAAACTAAAAAATGTGCTCAATAACTAATGAAGTCATGCTTTTAATGTCCATAATATATATATATATATATATATATATAATGACTTGAATTTGAATTCCCGTATTTTATTATATTTTATGTATACTAAAACTGTTTTATAAACAAAAGCATGTGTGTCTTATTAAAAGTCTCAAATGTGCATTTGTGAGTTCTTAGAAGTTATTGCTCTTTATTGTACAGGTTTCAAATATTTCACATTTCTTGTATTAAAAATTTGATATCCAATGGTTTAGTTTATGGACTTCTAATACCTAATAAATTTTGTACATGCAACTGCAAAACACAAGAAGTTCCTAGAAGAATTGAAGTTATTATTAACATAGTGATGCCTATATATATATATATATATATATATATAATCAAATAATAGGAAGAATAAGTTTATTGAAACAAATTCTCCAAACAATCACATCAAAAGAATCAAAAGGTAATTCTATCAAAAGAAATTTTATGTATGAGTGGTATGCTAAATATATCTATTATTTATATTGGTAAAATTTCTTATTAAAATGATAATAGAACAAGTATTAAAAAATAGATTTTCTTTTAATGAATATTTCAATTTAATTTAATGAAATACTTATTTACAAGAAAAAGCATGTTGTGTATAATACCAATATATATATATATATATATATATATATATATACAAAGTAATCTTCTATACTTACATAAATATAAATTTGATTAGATATAATAGATGTAATAGTTGGCCACATATTGGAGATTTAGCAACTTGTATTACAAGTAGCAGATACATCAAAAACTAGTCCTATAAATTAGACATGTGTCTTGTAAGTTGGATATGTATCATATGATCTATAGGAGATTGTTACATATTTCTTTAGTAAATATTGTATATAGAGGCAAGAATAAGGCCTTCTTCACTTTTATCAGTGCCTTTCTTGTATTCTATCTTGGTTCAAGACTTCCTAATCTTTTTTTATTTAGCAATAGCTATTCTAGTTTCAATTCTATATCTATCTTTTTATTTTCTACTTTCATGTTTTTTGTTAATACAAGAGTGTATTGTTAATTTTAATTTTTTTTGTGGTTATTCTCCTTAACAATACATGTATTAATGATAGAGTGATGCATCAAATATATAAATTTTATTTTAAAAAATTATTTGTAATTTCTAATTAATTATTTCATTTTGAAGTAGTTATTATAGTAGAACCTTAGAGCAATATAAAGAGTATTAAGACATATTTGAGAAGAAGAATATTGATATATTGCCAAAACATTGATTGCATGATTATTCACTTGATGTTCAAGAAAGAACCTAACTACCATTTAATCCAATTAATAACTTGTTACAAAATAAACTTATTACTTTGAAGAATTATATTACTATTTTTTAAAGAATCTTTTCTAATATTTAAAATACTTTATAGGTATGCTAATTCATTTGAGAAAAAAATGATAGATCCTTAGAACTATAGGTAAATT